CCAGAAGTTCATCAAAAATTCTTTCACAAGCGAATCAACAATTCTAAGATTTTGGAAGCACCTTGCCATACGGAAACTCAGGCCTATTTTAACGTAAGACAGATTCACGGTTCGTTTTGAAATTTAGCTTATGCACTGTCTCCACTGGATTTATTTCCTCCCTGTCTTCCAAATCTCCCACCTTGCCACTCGGAGCCCACGTTCTAATTACGAATATACTAACCTTTCTGTAATTGAGGTGTCTTAAAGTTGAAACAGAACACGTGAAACCCATCTTCGGCAATTCATTCTGAAAGTTTGCCCAAAGGACCGCTGTACAATTTAGCTCTTATTAAGTTTTATGCGAAGCCGCTTCTATAGCCAAACCTTTAGAGATTTAAAGTCGGAAAACCTTAAGATTTTGGCGGTATCACTTTCATAAAGTTTCTTTTTTGGCCATAAGCAGATGGTCCTCGCCTTATCTTACCACAGAAAATAGCCAGAAGTAGTATTTCCGTATAGAAGTTTTTCCGGACGTTATTGACAGTCATAGGTACTGGTACGCATTCGCCTAACATAGTAGCACAAACTGATAAGCTATTCGCGAGCAGGTTACATACATCTAGATTAAGCATTTAAATCTGGATCTTTGATTTTTAGTTACATACCGGTGTATATAGCATATCTAACATCGATGATCTCCAACAAAAGACGAGTTATGGTAGAACCTTCTCCACACATGACTCACCTTTCTTTAAAATCGTACGATCTTGATCAAATAATTCCGGTACAGAAATGTGAAATGCCTTCATTAGAGAGCGACTGATGTTTGATAATGGTAAACAATTGACAAGAACCACATCTAACATATTGCTAAGCTGGAAGGCTGCGATCCGTAGCGAATCATATGTGATTGTAATAAAGTAAAGAACGGAGACATGTTCAGGAAACAGTCAAATACTTTGGTCATTTTCCTGGAGGAAGTAAAGTAAAAGTTGAGGGAAGAAGAAATAAGGAGTTAGAAGAAAAACAACTTTAAACGAATAAAGAGAAAAAAAAAACAAAAAACTGACTTCGTTCGGTGTTGGTGCAGTCGCAAGTCCATATCTCATGCATAAAGCGTTCACTTGAAACTCGCTCAGGTCATCACCTTCCCTCAGCAGCGGAATCTGGTGGCACATTCTGAATTCTG